CATGCATAGGGCCTCATTTAAGAGGTGTCTCGGAACATGATGGAGAGTACGTGCTCAAGGAGGTGCATGAAGGATGCTGTGGTGACCACCTGAAGGCTAGGGCGTTGGTAGGGAAGGTGCTTCGGGCTGGATATTTCTGGCCTAAGATGAGGACGATGGCACAGGACCTTGTGTGAAAATGCAAGAGGTGCCAGCAGCATGGTCCATTAATCCATAAAGCAGCCGAGAACATGGTCCCGATTAGCTCGCATCTACCTTTTACTAGTTGGGGAGTTGATATAGTTGGACCTTTGCCCCAAGCGAAAGGGCCAGCAAAAGTTCTTTATTGTGGCTGTGGATTACTTCTCCAAGTGGATTGAGGTCGAGCCTTTGGCGACGATCACAGAAGAGAGAGTGATGAAGTTTCTCTTCAACATCTGTTGTCGGTATGACATCCCTCGGGTGCTTATATCTGATAATGGCACTCAGTTCAGAGGTCGGCGTACGATGAGTTGGTGTGAAGAGATGGGCATCAAACAACAGTTTGCTTCGGTCGCCCACCCCCAAACGAATGGGCAGGCCGAGGTCGCGAATAGGTCGATCCTAAATGGGTTGAAGGTTAGATTGGAGAGAGCTTCGGGAGATTGGGTAGATGAGCTTGATTCGGTGTTGTGGTCATACCAGACGACACCAAGGACTTCAAATGGGGAGACGCCATTCAGTCTAGTTTATGGTATGGAGGCCTTCATCCCAGTAGAGATCGGCCTCAATTCAGAGCGGGTGAGTACCTATACGGAAGAAGGGAACGTCGAGCTCCGAGGGAGGCACTGGACCTAGTGGACGAACTACGTGACCAAGTTGGATTAAGAACGACGGCTTACAAGCAGTGGATGAGGGTGGCCCACAACAAGTCAGTTCGAGCTCGCCGGTTCCAAGTGGGAGACCTGGTTGGGCGCCAGGCCGATGCCCTGAAGCATGTATGGAAGTATGAACCGAACTGGGAAGTCCCTTATACTGTTGAGAGGGTATTCGGCGGGAGCACCTATGAACTTCGCTATGTTGTGGGGCGGTTGCTACTGCGACCATGGAATATATCACACTTGAAGAAATATTATGCGTGGTGGGAGACATCCTATCTTTATTTGCTTTTATTTGTTATCGGTTATGTTGTAGAGAGACAAGTAATGAAATTGCATTTGGACTTTTTTTTTAGCTTAATACTTTTCTTGTGTGATGTGTATGCAGGCGCAAGCCTGTTAGTCTCGCCTAAGCTCGCGGAGCTAGGCGACGACCTCTTTAGGGCGTAAGCCTGTTAATTTTGTCCTTGCCTCGTTTTTTCAGTTTTGCAAATTTTGAATTCTTCCTCTCCAAAATTTCTTGCGTCCGCCATTGTTACTTCCTTAAGCCCTTCTGCAACTTTGCGATTTTTCAGTAAGGAAATTTTCCCATCTTTCCCTTTTCAATTAAATCAATTATGCCTTCTTTGTTGCACCAAGTTATTAGCTTAGAACAGACCGGAGACAAGAGGTATCCTCACAGGTTGGGACAATGGATATAGTGGTATTCTCGCCGCTGCAGGCGGTGGAAACTGAGGTGGTGGAGGATGTGACGGCGTCTTCACTGCATGAGGTTGTTGAGGTGGATCTAAACGAGGAGATCAAAATTGAGCTCATCGAGAAAACTCTGCAGGGAGACACCTGAGGTCGAGAAAGGTTTCCTCTAATAAGGGGTGACGATGATGCGGACCGCGTCGTTGAGTAAGCAACTTGGTCTTTGCGGAGGCCATACCGGGTATGGCTGAGGATCTGTCATCTGACCCTGGGCAACATAATCAGCATATGACTGACGCTGAGATCGTCAAACTGAGGGACAAAGTTCAGATTCCCTTGTTGGTTCGACTGTTTTCTCCATACCCAGGGAAGATGACCAATTGTCCATCGCGAGGCTGTATTGGTGTTTTTAAGCAAAGCTTGACATCTGGCCTCAAATTTCCCATGTTGAATGCGTGGGCCAAAGTGATCGTTCTAATCGTGCTTTTTTTTTTTTTTAAAAAAAAAAGAGCGTGGACAACTCCCACCCCTAAGGAGATTTGGAGTTTCTTTGCCTTTAAGAAGACGACCAAAAAGTCGAGATGTTACTACTGCTTGATTAGGTATGGAATTGATAAGGGTATGGTCATCAAGCTGCCCCACACCTTGCACGGCTTCCAAAAGGAATGGTCATGAGTCGACGGGATTAAGAGACCCCCGACATGGTGGTGATCGGAGAGATGGTCAACACTCTGTCTATGTCGACTAAATTTTTAGCTAGGAAGCGTAAGTCCGTTTTATTCATTCCTTATTTTGGTTTCTTATTCTGTCTTATTTTTTTGCTAGTAGGTAGTCCTTGTCTGTTTTCAGGAGGAGGGGAAGTTTCCAAGGTAAGTGAGAAGTTTCATGGTCGACTTGTCATT